TGTGTCTAGGTGGGAGCGCGGCATTCTGGGTGCGTGACCCTTGCTCAAGGTGGGTGCGCTGCTTTCTGTGGTGCGTGACCCGTGTCCAGGTGGGGGCCCCATGTTCTGGTGCGTGACCCTTGTCCAGGTGTGGGGGTGCCCCGCATACATTCTGCGTGCGTGACCCGTGTGCAGGTGGGTGCCATACATTCTGCGTGCGTGACCCGTGTGCAGGTGGGTGCCATACATTCTGCGTGCGTGACCCGTGTGCAGGTGGGTGCCAACATTTCTGGTGCGTGACCCTTGTGCAGGTGGGTGCCCTACATTCTGCGTGCGTGACCCGTGTGCAGGTGGGTGCTATACATTCTGCGTGCGTGACCCGTGTGCAGGTGGGTGCCCGGCGTTCTGAGTGCGTGACCCGTGTCCAGGTGGGGGCGTGGCACTCTGGGTGCTTGACCAGTGTCCAGGTGGGGGCGTGGCACTCTGGGTGCTTGACCCGCATAAAGGTGGGGGTCTGGGTGTGTGACCCCTGTCTAGGTGGGAGCGCGGCATTCTGGGTGCATGGCCTATGCTCATGTGGGTGCACAGAGTGTCTGGGTGGCCTGTGGCCGGGACATGCAGCATTCTGGATGCACATTTTGTACCTGGTGCTTGGCATTTTGGGTGCATCTGTTGTATTTTATGGGTGGATTATGTGGGGTGTGCGGTGCGTCGGGGTGGATTGGGTGTGCGATGTGTCGGGGTGGATATTATGTGGGTGTGCGGTGTGTCGGGGTGGATTATGTGGGTGTGCGGTGTGTCGGGGGGTGGATATTATGTGGGTGTGCGGTGTGTCGGGGTGGATTTATGTGGGTGTGCGATGTGTCGGGGTGGATATTATGTGGGTGTGCGGTGTGTCGGGGTGGATTGGGGTGTGCGATGTGTCGGGGTGGATATTATGTGGGTGTGCGTGTGTCGGGGTGGATTCTGTGGGTGTGCGGGGGGGTGGATATTATGTGGGTGTGCGGTGTGTCGGGGTGGATTCTGTGGGTGTGCGGTGTGTCGGGGTGGGGTGGATATTATGTGGGTGTGCGATGTGTCGGGGTGGATATTATGTGGGTGTGCGATGTGTCGGGGTGGATTCTGTGGGTGTGCGATGTGTCGGGGTGGATTATGTGGGTGTGCGATGTGTCGGGGTGGATATTATGTGGGTGTGCGGTGTGTCGGGGTGGATATTATGTGGGTGTGCGGGTCGGGGTGGATTATGTGGGTGTGCGGTGTGTCGGGGTGGATTTATGTGGGTGTGCGGTGTGTCGGGGTGGATTCTGTGGGTGTGCGGTGTGTCGGGGTGGATTCTGTGGGTGTGCGGTGTGTCGGGGTGGATTATGTGGGTGTGCGATGTGTCGGGGTGGATATTATGTGGGTGTGCGATGTGTCGGGGTGGATTCTGTGGGTGTGCGATGTGTCGGGGTGGATATTATGTGGGTGTGCGATGTGTCGGGGTGGATATTATGTGGGTGTGCGGTGTGTCGGGGTGGATTCTGTGGGTGTGCGGTGTGTCGGGGTGGATTCTGTGGGTGTGCTGGATTCTGTGGGTGTGCGGGGTGGATGTGGGTGTGCGGTGTGTCGGGGTGGATTCTGTGGGTGCGCGGTGTGTCGGGGTGGATTGTCTGTAGCTGGGTGTGCGGTGCGTCGGGGTGGATGGCTGGGGTGCGCGGTGCGTCGGGGTGGATGGCTGCGGGTGCGCGGTGTGTCGGGGTGGATGGCTGCGGGTGCGCGGTGTGTCGGGGTGGATGGCTGCGGGGGTGTGTGTCGGGGTGGATGGCTGCGGCTGCGGTGCGGGTGCGCGGTGTGGATGGCTGCGGCTGCGCGGTGTGTCGGGTGACTGGCTGCGGGTGCGCGGTGTGTCGGGGTGGATGGCTGCGGGTGCGCGGTGTGTCGGGGTGGATGGCTGCGGCTGCGGGTGCGCGGTGTCGGGGTGGATGGCTGCGGGTGCGCGGTGTGGATGGCTGCGGGTGCGCGGTGGACGGCTGCGGGTGCGCGGTGTGTCGGGGTGGATGGCTGCGGGTGTGTCGGGGTGGATGGCTGCGGGTGTCGGTGTGTCGGGGGGATGGCTGCGGCTGGATGGGGGGTGCGGCTGCGCGGTGGCGGTGTGTCGGGGTGGATGTGCGCGGTGTGTCGGGGTGGATGGCTGCGGGTGCGCGGTGTGTCGGGGTGGATGGCTGCGGGCGCGGTGCGCGGTGTGTCGGGGTGGATGGATGGCTGCGGGTGCGCGGTGTGTCGGGGTGGATGGCTGCGGGTGCGCGGTGTGTCGGGGTGGACGGCTGCGGGTGCGCGGTGCGTCGGGGTGGATGGCTGCGGGTGTGCGCGGTGTGTCGGGGTGGATGGCTGCGGGTGCGCGGTGTGTCGGGGTGGATGGCGCGGGGTGCGCGGTGTGTCGGGGGGTGGATGGCTGCGGGTGCGCGGTGTGTCGGGGTGGATGGCTGCGGGTGCGCGGTGTGTCGGGGTGGATGGCTGCGGGTGCGCGGTGCGTCGGGGGGTGGATGGCTGCGGGTGCGCGGTGTGTCGGGGTGGATGGCTGCGGGTGCGCGGTGTGTCGGGGTGGATGGCTGCGCGCGGTGTGTCGGGGTGGATGGCTGCGGCTGCGGCGTGTGTCGGTCGGGTGGATGTGTGACGCGGTTGTTGGGGTGGATGGCTGCGGCTGCGGGTGTGTCGGGGTGGATTGTGACCTTTTATCTGGTGAATTGGTTCTATATGAACAGCAGTTCCTCACACGTTCCGGTGACGTGTAGATTGCTCATCTCGCCTCAACCTCCGCAACATCTCCAGAACACGCCCCTTTATAACCAATGATAGCACAGGTCATCTGTCGCCTCGACTACTGCAACTCCCTCCTCATTGGATAACCTTTACATAGGCCACACCCCCTGTCCAGTCCATCAAGACTTTCTGTCCTCTAGTTCCCGTGTCACCTCCTCCATACTCGCCTCCAGGACTTCTCCCATCCTATGGAACTTCCTACCCCAATCTGTCCGGCTGTCTCCTAATCTATCCAGCTTTAGACGATCCCTGAAAACTTTTCTCTTGAAAGAAGTCTATCCTGCTTCTATCTAATGCACTGCGATTTTACTTCCCCCATCAGCTCACCCCCCCCCACAGCTATTACCGTTTGTATCACTCAGCCCCTCCTACTAGATTGTAAGCTCCCAGGATCAGGGCCCTCTGTTTCCTCTCTGTACCAAATTGTATTGCAATGTCCTTTATGTTGTACAGCGCTGCGTATACTGTCGGTGCCATATAAATCCAGTATAATAATATCACTGCACACAGATGGGAGGGGCCTCATAGCGGTACAATGGCGGTGGATTTCGCGGCAGATTTTGGAACATTCCAATGATTTCTCACTTTCAGTTTTTCACATTTTTTTTTTTAATTCAACAATTCATTTTATTTATTTTTTTATACAAATTCAAAAATAAAGACAATCTCTAATTTGGCAAAAAAAAAACCTCATTGCGGTGATAAAACGGCAGTTCAGAGTTAGTTAAAAATAGACAAATTCTAAATATATATTATTATAGATTATTCTGTCAGGATATAGAAAATAAAATCTGTACCAATTAAAACCAAATTTGTAAAATCCAAATTCACTCATCATTGTAAGATATAAAAATTGCAAACGGTTATTAAATATTCCACAATGCACTGCACACCATCCCCCCCCCCCCCCCCACCCCACCCTCGCCGGCTGGGACGCCGTAACTGCCATTGAAAGAGAAACCTTAAATAACGCGACATTTACACACCAATTCCTGGGACGTATTTACAGATGGTGGTAGGAAGGCGGGACTGCTGGTAGGCGTCGGCTCTCACTCGCCTCGCAGCCTCTGGCCAATCAGATGCTGCCGGGGGGCAGCGCACACAGGCAGCCCTATGCTGGAAGACACGGGTGTCAAACTGCCGGCCCTCCAGCTGTTGCCAAACTGCAAGTCCCATGAGGCATTGCAAGACTGACAGTTACAAGCATGGCTCCCAAAGGCAGAGGCATGATGGGACTTGTAGTTGCACAACAGCTGGAGGGCCGGCAGTGTGACACCCCTGCTTCAGAACTACAAGTCCCATGAGGCATTGCACAGCTGACAGTTACAAGCATGGCTCCCAAAGGCAGAGGCATGATGGGACTTGTAGTTTCACAACAGCTGGAGGGCCGGCAGTGTGACACCCCCTGCTTCAGAACTACAAGTCCCATGAGGCATTGCACAGCTGACAGTTAGAAGCGTGACTCCCAAAGGCAGAGGCATGATGGGACTTGTAGTTTCACAACAGCTGGAGGGCCCCCATTGTGACACCCCTGCTTCAGAACTACAAGTCCCATGAGGCATTGCACAGCTGACAGTTACAAGCGTGGCTCCCAAAGGCAGAGGCAGAGGCATGATGGGACTTGTAGTTTCACAACAGCTGGAGGGCCCCCATTGTGACACCCCTGCTTCAGAACTACAAGTCCCATGAGGCATTGCACAGCTGACAGTTAGAAGCGTGACTCCCAAAGGCAGAGGCATGATGGGACTTGTAGTTTCACAACAGCTGGAGGGCCCCCATTGTGACACCCCTGCTTCAGAACTACAAGTCCCATGAGGCATTGCACAGCTGACAGTTACAAGCGTGGCTCCCAAAGGCAGAGGCATGATGGGACTTGTAGTTTCACAACAGCTGGAGGGCCGCCAGTGTGACACCCCTGCTTCAGAACTACAAGTCCCATGAGGCATTGCACAGCTGACAGTTACAAGCGTGGCTCCCAAAGGCAGAGGCATGATGGGACTTGTAGTTGCACAACAGCTGGAGGGCCGGCAGTGTGACACCCCTGCTTCAGAACTACAAGTCCCATGAGGCATTGCACAGCTGACAGTTACAAGCGTGGCTCCCAAAGGCAGAGGCATGATGGGACTTGTAGTTTCACAACAGCTGGAGGGCCGCCATTGTGACACCCCTGCTTCAGAACTACAAGTCCCATGAGGCATTGCACAGCTGACAGTTACAAGCATGGCTCCCAAAGGCAGAGGCATGATGGGACTTGTAGTTTCACAACAGCTGGAGGGCCCCCATTGTGACACCCCTGCTTCAGAACTACAAGTCCCATGAGGCATTGCACAGCTGACAGTTACAAGCGTGGCTCCCAAAGGCAGAGGCATGATGGGACTTGTAGTTTCACAACAGCTGGAGGGCCGCCAGTGTGACACCCGTGCTGGAAGGCATCCTACTGGACGCCTCATAGTTCAATCATCAGGCCTGCTGCACTGTCCCTCCCTCTCCTGGACAGGGGCGCCGGGTGCACTCCGTGCTCTGGAACTGGGTGGAGTAATCCCTGTTACCATGGTGACGGCGCTCTCTGCTGTGCGTTGTAAAGAGAGCTGCGCTGGACTGCAAGACAGGTAAGTAGTCGATTTAAAAAAAAAATAAAAGTTCCCCACTGGATCTACCAGAAACAAAAAGGGATGCTTTCCCATCCCTTGGGAGTCCAGGAGCCCAGACAGAGAGGCTGTAGGGGGCCCCATGATTTCCAGTGGTGGCCTGTTGGAGGGTGTAGGTCAGGGGTGTCCAAACTACGGCTCTCCAGCTGTTGAAGTACTACAAGTCCCATCATGCCTCTGGGAGTCTTGCCTGTGGATGTCAGAGTCTTGCAAGGCCTCATGGGACTTGCAGTTCCTCCACACCTGGAGGGCCGTAGTTTGGACACGCCTAGTAGGTAGTCCATGGATGGTGCTTCAAAGGTCTCCACCAATCCATGACAATGTGGCGATCCAAGATCACATGCAATGCGATGCTATCCGAGGTGATCACGGTACCACATGTACTTTGCTCGTAGGTTGGATCTCGTCTGTTTTGTGATGTTCTGAATTCAGAATGTGAAGAAGAATCCTCCATTGTGGTTGTAGTGCGATGCAAAGTGCCCGGGGGGGGGGGGGGGCACCGCCTGTTCAGGGGAGGAAGATGTTCATGGCGAGGCAGCATTGCTGTGTCTGGTGATCCCTGTCCAATGATCGGGATTAGTGATCCGCCGAAATTATCATCCCGAAATAAGGTTAGGAGAAAAAAAGGTGCTGATAACGGCCGAAAAGATGAGCTTACCACACGCCGATCGCGGCCAATCCACGCTACACCGATCATGACCGAGCCGCGCATCACCGATCATGGCCAATCCACGCTACGCCGATCATGACCGAGCCGCGCATCACCGATCATGGCCAATCCACGCTACACCGATTGTGACCGACCCGCGCTACACCGATCATGACCAGCCGCGCATCACCGATCATGACCGAGCCGCGCATCACCGATCATGACCGAGCCGCGCATCACTGATCATGGCCAATCCACGCTACACCGATCATGACCGAGCCGCGCATCACCGATCATGGCCAATCCACGCTACGCAGATCATGGCCAATCCACGCTACACCGATCATGACCGAGCCGCGCATCACCGATCATGGCCAATCCACGCTACACCGATTGTGACCGAGCCGCGCTACACCGATCATGACCGAGCCGCGCATCACCGATCATGACTGAGCCGCGCATCATCATGACCGAGCCAATCACCGATCATGCCGAGCCGCGCATCACCGATCATGGCCAATCCACGCTACGCTATGACCGAGCCGCGCTACACGATCGTGACCAAGCCGCGCTATCACCATCATGGCCAATCCACGCTACGCCGATTGTGACCAAGCCGCGCTACACCGATCATGGCCAATCCACGCTACGCCGATCATGACCGAGCCGCGCTACACCGATCATGACCGAGCCGCGCATCACCGATCATGGCCAATCCACGCTACGCCGATCATGACCGAGCCGCGCTACACCCGATCATGGCCAATCCACGCTACACCGATTGTGACCGAAGCCGCGCTACACCGATCATGGCCAATCCACGCTACGCCGATTGTGACCGAGCATCACCGATCATGGCCAATCCACGCTACGCAGATCGTGGCCAAGCCGCGCATCACCGATCATGACCGAGCCGCGCTCACCGATCATGGCCAATCCACGCTACGCCGATTGTGACCAAGCCGCGCTACACCGATCATGGCCAATCCACGCTACGCAGATCGTGGCCAATCCACGCTACACCGATCATGACCGAGCCGCGCTACACACGATCATGGCCAATCCACGCTACGCCGATTGTGACCAAGCCGCGCTACACCGATCATGGCCAATCCACGCTACGCAGATCGTGGCCAAGCCGCGCAATACGCGATTGTGACCAAGCAGCGCTACGCAGATCATGGCCAAGACGCACTACGCAGCCTCTGAGGACACCGTTGCCATGACTCTGCTCCAGTGCCCACCCAATCTTTGCGTGACGCATGAAAAGTGGAATACAATTATATATATATATATTAAAAAAAAAGATATTTTAAAACCGTCCGTTTTGGTTTCAGTTTTCAGCCAAATGCATCCGGAATTTTCATTTCGGTGCACCACTAATAATGATCATCAGCAGGATGGCCCTACCATGCAGATGGATCTCTGCACCCTCAATACTGGACAGGAGGGGGCTACAAATGAGGGTGTGCTGTATCTGTGAAGGATCATTTATTCCCCCTGCTCATGTGATGGAAGGAGAGGTAGGGTGGACTGGGTTGGAGGGGAGGGAGGGAGGGTGGACTGGTTGGAGGGCCGGTAGGGTGGACTGGGTTGGAGGGCCTGTAGGGTGGACTGGGTTGGAGGGCCGGTAGGGTGGACTGGGTTGGAGGGGAGGTAGGGTGGACTGGGTTGGAGGGGAGGTAGGGTGGACTGGGTTGGAGGGCCGGTAGGGTGGACTGGGTTGGAGGGGAGGTAGGGTGGACTGGGTTGGAGGGGAGGGAGGGTGGACTGGTTGGGGGGAGGGAGGGTGGACTGGGTTGGAGGGCCGGTAGGGTGGACTGGGTTGGAGGGGAGGTAGGGTGGACTGGGTTGGAGGGGAGGTAGGGTGGACTGGGTTGGAGGGGAGGTAGGGTGGACTGGGTTGGAGGGGAGGGGGAGGTAGGGTGGACTGGGTTGGAGGGGAGGGGGAGGTAGGGTGGACTGGGTTGGCGGGGAGGTAGGGAGGACTGGTTGGGGGGACTGGTCGGCAGGGGAGGGGAGGGGGATGGAGGGGGGGAAGGGTGAAGCGGGTTGGCGGGGAGGAATGGTCGAGCAGGAGGGGATGGGGAGGGGGGGAGGGGTGAAGGATTGGAGGGGAGGAAGGTGAAGGGTGAGGAAGAAGGGTGAAGCGGGTTGGAGGGGAGGAAGGGTGAAGCGGGTTGGAGGGGAGGAATGGTCGAGCAGGATGGAGGGGAGGTGGGGGGAGGGGGAAGAAGGGTGAAGCGGGTTGGAGGGGAGGAATGGTGAAGCGGGTTGGAGGGGAGGAATGGTGAAGCGGGTTGGAGGGGAGGAATGGTGAAGCGGGTTGGAGGGGAGGAGAGGTCGAAGGATGGAGGGGAGGTGGGGCGGAGGGGGAAGAAGGGTGAAGCGGGTTGGAGGGGAGGAAGGGTGAAGCGGGTTGGAGGGGGGAAGGGTGAAGCGGGTTGGAGGGGAGGAATGGTCGAGGAGGATGGAGGGGAGGTGGGGTGACATGGAGGTGGATGGGGGGGAATGAATGTTAAAAAGAAGGGAGGTGAAAAGGAGTTGACAGGAATTTGGAGCTAGGCTCCTCCTCCCTTCGGGTCGGGTTGGGAGTTGTCACCACTTTCCGTTGCTCGGGATCAATGAATCCGAAGGAAAACCTTCTCATGCCGGTTAGATTTAGCACCTTGATAACAACATATTGCTGCTGGGGAGGGATTCCCTCCAATGGGAGTTACATTCGGTGTCCTGGATGAGGAATCAGACGCCATCTTCCTCCTGCTGTACCTATGACCACATGGAGTGGAGGTCACGCAATGTATTGGCACACATGGTGTATAAACGTGTGCAGAGCGTGTTCTCCGGGCAGCCGTTCGGTGCACCGCATGCTCTGCACACGCAGTATATAGGGCAGAAAACCTTCATATGAAGATGGAGCTCCAGCTTTGTGGTATAAAATGTGTTAAGAACTCTACAGAGTGAAGCGTTGATCCTCCTGCGAGGATTTCTATGAAAACATGAAGAAGTCACCTAAAGCTGTGAAATGTCGGCACCCAGAGATGGGGAGGGGGATGGAGGGACCCCTATACAATGTCAGAGCAGTGACCAGTCCTGAAGATAGGGGGCGCTCTCTGCCTGCAGTCACAGAAGGAAGGCCAAGTATTGGAGGCCCCACCCCCTGCGACTCCTGGTTGGACACGGCCGTCTTGCGTCACGGTAGTTAAGGCACTTCAAAGTGTTAAGAATAGCGCACAAGACCCAGACCGCCATTCGCCGTATGATTCCGCCGTATGATGTCACAGTGCCGCCGTATGATGTCACAGTGCCGCTGTGTGATGCCGTGCGTATGATGTCACAGTGCCGCCGTGTGATGTCACAGTGCCGCCGTATGATGTCACAGTGCCGCTGTGTGATGTGCTGATCGGTAGATGGGGACATTTTTCATTCCACAACTTTCAGTTCACTTTTGCCCTTCTGGTCATTCCAGCTCTGTGGGGGCGGAGCCAATAAATCCATCACATTCGATTTCTCACACGATTGGCTGATTTGTTGTTGAAATTTGAAAGGGTTTAAAAATGTGATCGCAGTGTAAAGAGCTGTGATTGGGCGGAGAAGTCTTTGCGGTGTAAAGAGCTGTGATTGGGCGGAGAAGTCTTCGTGGTGTAAAGAGCTGTGATTGGGCGGAGAAGTCTTCCTGGTGTAAAGAGCTGTGATTGGGCGGAGAAGTCTTCCTGGTGTAAAGAGCTGTGATCTTCGTGGTGTAAAGAGCTGTGATTGGGCGGAGAAGTCTTTGCGGTGTAAAGAGCTGTGATTGGGCGGAGAAGTCTTCCTGGTGTAAAGAGCTGTGATTGGGCGGAGAAGTCTTCCTGGTGTAAAGAGCTGTGATTGGGCGGAGAAGTCTTCGTGGTGTAAAGAGCTGTGATTGGGCGGAGAAGTACAATATAAATACAGGGGTGTGTCGGGTCATCTACAATGTGCAGCTACAATGGGACAACCAGGCGGAGGCGCTATATCTGTGCACACGGGTCCAGCATGATCCGGCCGGCTCCTTCCCATCCCGCTGTCTTCTGGGCTCAATGGTCAATCCCAGCGTGAGCTGAGGGGGAGAGAGAGAGAGATGAAGTCTGCAGACAGATGGAACACGCAGCATACGGCAGACAGAACCCCACATGGAACACGCAACATACGGAAGACAAACCCCGCATGGAACACGCAACATACGGAAGACAGAACCCCGCATGGAACACGCAACATACGGCAGACAGAACCCCGCATGGAACACGCAACATACGGCAGACAGAACCCCGCATGGAACACGCAACATACGGAAGACAACCCCGCATGGAACACGCAACATATGGCAGACAGAACCCCGCATGGAACACACAACATACAGCAGACAGAACCCCGCATGGAACACGCAACATACGGCAGACAGAACCCCGCATGGAACACGCAACATACGGCAGACAGAACCCCGCATGGAACACGCAACATACGGCAGACAGAACCCCGCATGGAACACGCAACATACGGCAGACAGAACCCCGCATGGAACACGCAACATACGACAGACAGAACCCCGCATGGAACACGCAACATACGGCAGACAGAACCCCGCATGGAACACGCAACATACGGCAGACAGAACCCCGCATGGAACACGCAACATACAGCAGACAGAACCCCCCGCATGGAACACGCAACATACAGCAGACAGAACCCCGCATGGAACACGCAACATACAGCAGACAGAACCCCACATGGAACACGCAACACACAGCAGACAGAACCCCGCATGGAACACGCAACATACAGCAGACAGTTTACTGGGAACATCCTGACACAGATGCAGCTGACTACCCAGTTGTGGACATTGTGCGTTCTACAGCTGCCCACAAAACCTAAAAGTACACCGGATGCATGTAGCATACCACCTTCCTCTACCCTTGTGTTGGCCCCCATCAGACGGGGGATGGAGAGATACAAAGTAACATTGTTTATAAACATCGATCAGACAGGAGATAGAGAGATACAAAGTAACATTGTTTCCATAAACATCGATCAGACGTTTATGGAGAGATACAAAGTAACATTGTTTATAAACTCGATCAGACAGGAGATAGAGAGATACAAAGTAACATTGTTTATAAACATCGATCAGACGGTGGATGGAGAGATACAAAGTAACATTGTTTATAAACATCGATCAGATCGGGGGATGGAGAGAACAAAGTAACATTGTTTATAAACATCTCAGACAGGAGATAGAGAGATACAAAGTAACATTGTTTATAAACAATCGATCAGACGGTTGAGAGATACAAAGTAACATTGTTTCTAAACATCGATCAGATCGAGGTTTATAAAGATACAAAGTAACATTGTTTATAAACATCGATCAGACGGCCCGATCTGATCGATGGAGAGATACAAAGTAACATTTTATAAACATCGATCAGACGGGAGATAGAGAGATACAAAGTAACATTGTTTATAAACATCGATCAGACGGGAGATGGAGAGATACAAAGTAACATTGTTTATAAACATCGATCAGACGGGAGATGAGAGATACAAAGTAACATTGTTTATAAACAATCGATCAAACGGGAGATCGATCTCTCCATACCCGTAACATTGTTTATAAACAATCGTCAGACGGGAGATTTGATCTCTATCTACAAAGTAACATTGTTTATAAACATCGATCAGACGGGGATAGAGAGATACAAAGTAACAATTGTTTATAAACATTCAGTATAGAGAGACTCCATTGTTTATAAACATCGATCTGATCGGGGGATAGAGAGATACAAAGTAACATTGTTTATAAACATCGATCAGACGGGAGATAGAGATACAAATGTAACATTGTTTATAAACATCGATCAGACGGGAGATGGAGAGATACAAAGTAACATTGTTTATAAACATCGATCAGATCGGGGGATGTTTATAAACAAAGTTACATTGTTTATAAACATCGATCAGACGGGAGATAGATCAAAGTAACATTTTTATAAATCAGACGGTAGAGATACAAAGTAACATTGTTTATAAACATCGATCAGATGTGGAGAAACAAAGTAACATTGTTTATAAACATCGATCAGACCCGGGATAGAGATACAAAGTAACATTGTTTATAAACAATCGATCAGACGGGAGATGGAGATCCATCTCCAAAGTAACATTGTTTATAAACAATCGATCAAACGGGTATCGAGAGATACAAAGTAACTCCCGTTTATAAACATCGATCAGACGGGAGATGGAGAGTTTTATACAAATGTAACATTGTTTATAAACATCGATCAGACCGTCTGGGAGATGGAGATACAAAGTAACATTTGTTTATAAACATCGATCAGATGGGGGTTTATATAGAGAGACACAAAGTAACATTGTTTATAAACATCGATCAGACGGGAGATGGATCAAAGTAACATTGTTTATAAACATCGATCAGATGGAGATAGAGATACAAAGTAACATTGTTTATAAACATCGATCAGATCGGGAGATAGAGATACAATGTTAACATTGTTTATAAACATCGATCAGACGGGGGATGAGAGAGATACAAAGTAACATTGTTTATAAACATCGATCAGTTATGGAGATACAAAGTAACATTGTTTATCCCATCGATCAGACGGGGGATATAGATACAATGTAACATTGTTTATAAACATCTCCCGATCAGACGGGAGTTTATAAAGAATACAACTTTGTATCTCTCCATTTCCCGTCTGATCGATGTTTATAAACAATGTTACTTTGTATCTCTCTATACCCCCGTCTGATCGATGTTTATAAACGTTACTTTGTATAATATTGTTACTTTGTATTTATTCCATCTCATTCATCTGAAGGATGAGATGCGATCTGCAGATTTCATGGGGCCCAACAAATTGAAACATTCTTTTTACATACAATGTGTTCCTATGTAACCCTTTATTAATCCTTATTACCGCTCCCCATCACAATTATTTTCCTGATGATTTTTTTTTAATTTCCATTTTCGTGGCAATTAATATTTAAACTTTTTTTTGTTTTAATATTTTTTTTAGTGTCACTTTAAAAAAAAAAAAATGTAAAAATTAAAAAGTGCGCTTCTCCCTCGTTTGGATACTTTTGTCTGCATGAAAGAAAAAACGACATTTACAAAACGATCTCGCCAAAAGCAAGCCGTGCGTGTCCTAAAGGTGAGAATTGGATGACTTTGATGGTCCCGAATAAAGCGACCAATGGCTCCGCCCTATGGGGGCTGTACGGGGGATGGAGCTGAAGGGGTTAACGTTCAATGACAATTGTTCATATAGATGACATTTCCAGATAACTGAAGCCCATTGGCTCAGAAGGGAGTGATGTCACAAGGGGGGGGTGTAAATATCTCAGTTCAGATGATTGGACTCCACATGCAGAAATACAAACCATGCCCCCAAAAGATTAAAGAATGACTCCCCCCAAATTCACCCTGAGCTGGGGGGGGGGGGGCGACGGGAGAACTCTGTGATTGAGGACCCCCCCCCTCTGCTGTCCATTGCAGGGTGTGACATCACCAGCAGAGGTGGGAGGAGTTTGGAGAAGGAACTCCAGAGTTGTCACCGCCAGGCTGCCCCGTGCCCCGAGAATCATGGGAAATCTTTATTGACACTTTGCCACAGACAACACACTGACATGCAGATTCCACACACCGGGAGACGCCCCATTCGCAGACCACGCCCTCATTTATAAAAGTTTAATTCGGGGGAGCCGAGTTCTTCCCCCGCCACGAGCGGAGGACCCCCATGACCTCGGAGTCAGATATCATCTGCTGGATTGGGATTTTCTCCCCCCTCCCCCGCTCTGTCTAATACCTGACCCAGCAATAGACAGGCAGATGGGGGACAAGGGGAAGGATCGGGGCTCCACCATGACCCATACGGGGGATCACATGACCTACACCCAGGTCATGTGATTGGCAGGATTATGCAATGTGCCGTCTGATGGAATTCATGCAGATTAATAAAAAAAAAGAATCATGCGGGATTTCACTTCGGATCATTCTAAACACGAGGAGGAAGAGAGACTCGTATACCGTGGCGGAGTACAGCATGCCGTCACACACAAGACGCGCTCTTACGTGGCTCAGACCACGGTGGCGTGCAGTCCGCGGGGTGCTGGGGGGTGATGGGGGCAGTGGGCAGCTGAAATGGATCACAGACAGTTTATATTGCAGGTACAATCATCACATAGCGTGTTCTGTGTATAACCCCCCTCCCCCCCCCCCCCCCGTCACATCGGGAGCGACTTACAAATCGAAGGCCAAGTCGCAGCTTACTGTCCGCAATCAGAGCGCTCATATCGGGGGGGGGGGGGTTTCCTGACTCGGTCGGAGTCGTTCGATTTACTTTTGGTGCGATTTGCACACGTCTGTGTCAGGTGTCCTGAAATTGTCATGCGACTCTGAAATCCTGCGACTTCCCTGACCCGGGTTCACACGGACACGGTGAGGAATTTGCAGCGTTTTCTGTGTGGATTCCGCACCGCATCAGAACCGCCCCCCCGTTCATGTGAACCGCTGCGGGTGCGAATGTTAACAACACCCCGAAATCGGTCCGCAAAACGCAGTGCGACGTGCAGAATCCAATCGCAGAGGTGTGAGTACCCGTGTGATCCGATTCTAGTGCCGACCCAAAAAAGGGTCCTGCATCTTCTTGGTGCAATTAGAGCCATACAAAGTGTACGACTCCAATCGCACCGCACACAAATCACATGTGATCTGCAGGGAATGCGGTGCGGTTCCTGAACACGTGATCTGCAGGGAATGCGGTGCGGTTCCTGAACACGTGATCTGCAGGGAATGCGGTGCGGTTCCTGAACACGTGATCTGCAGGGAAATGCGGTGCGGTTCCTCCTAATCACATGTGATCTGCACAAGAATGCGGTGCAGTTCCTGAACACGTGATCTGCAGGGAATGCGATGCGGTTCCTGATCACGTGATCTGCAGGGAATGCGGTGCGGTTCCTAATCACGTGATCTGCAGGGAATGCAGTGGTTCCTGAACACGTGATCTGCAGGGAATGCGTGTGGTTCCTGAACACATGTGACCTGCAGGGAATGCAGTGCGGTTCCTGAACACGTGATCTGCAGGGAATGCAGTGTGGTTTCCTGAACACATGTGACCTGCAGGGAATGCGGTGCGGTTCCTGAACACGTGTGATCTGCAGGGAATGCAGTGTGGTTCCTGAACACATGTGTGATCTGCAGGGAATGCGGTGCGGTTCCTGAACACGTGTGATCTGCAGGGAATGCGGTGTGTGGTTCCTGAACACGTGTGACCTGCAGGGAATGCGTGCGGTTCCTGAACACGTGTGACCTGCAGGGAATGCAGTGCGGTTCCTGAACACGTGTGATCTGCAGGGAATGCAGTGCGGTTCCTGAACACGTGTGATCTGCAGGGAATGCAGTGCGGTTCCTGAACACGTGTGATCTGCAGGGAATGCGGTGCGGTTCCTGAACACGTGTGATCTGCAGGGAATGCGGTGCGGTTCCTGAACACGTGTGATCTGCAGGGAATGCGGTGCGGTTCCTGAACACGTGTGATCTGCAGGGAATGCAGTGCGGTTCCTGAACACGTGTGATCTGCAGGGAATGCAGTGCGGTTCCTGAACACGTGATCTGCAGGGAATGCAGTGTGGTTCCTGAACACGTGATCTGCAGGGAATGCAGTGCGGTTTCCTGAACACATGTGATCTGCAGGGAATGCAGTGTGGTTCCTGAACACATGTGATCTGCAGGGAATGCAGTGCGGTTCCTGAACATGTGTGACCTGCAGGGAATGCAGTGCGGTTCCTGAACACATGTGATCTGCAGGGAATGCGGTGCGGTTCCTGAACATGTGTGATCTGCAGGGAATGCGGTGCGGTTCCTGAACACGTGTGATCTGCAGGGAATGCGGTGAAGTTCCTGACCACATGAAACATACCGAACCGCATGTATGTGAACCCGAGTAAGTCGCACAATTTCAAAGTTGGGTTTGATATGACCGGGGGGGGGGGGGGTTAATGTTTCCACCCGTGATTCACACGTCGAATTGGAAAGATGAATAAATCCTGGGTGAATGTGTGAACACATTTCTACATAGAGCCCCGCCCCCATGATATCTGCTCAGAATGCAGCCAATCAGATTGTCCAATTTCTAAACCTACACTGATCCCCTGAAATGGAGAAGCTGATTGGTTGCTGTGGATGGCAGACGCTTCCATAGATGAACAACGATCGATTTGTTCTCAGCTGATCGAGCGGCAGGACTCGTCTCCCATTGGCTGTGACCACCAAGCGGCGGCCATGACAAGGCCTCTTAGGAAGAATCCGTGATGTTGCCGGAAGCAGAGAGTCCTGATGGGAGAATCAGGTGACATGGACTCCGCCCTAAAGTAGGATGTCCCCCCAACCAATTGCAATGCCCCTCCCCCTTCTCACCTGCTACCTGCTTGCTGCGCTGAGAAGCCTCTGAGGCCAGAGCGTAGGATATGGTGATCATCCTCTCCTGTTCCTGAACGTGGCTGTCCAGATCGAGGGGCCCACCTCATCCGGGTACATCGGCTGCAGATTGTGCACACTGCAGGGGACACAGACCAATCAGAGGAAGAAACCAGAGCCCAGACAGGAGGAGACCCACCGGAACCCACACAGGAGGAGACCCACCGGAACCCACACAGGAGGAGACCCACCAGAGCCCAGACAGGGGGAGGGACCCACCGGAACCCACACAGGAGGAGACCCACGGAGAACCCACACAGGAGGAGACCCACCGGAACCCACACAGGAGGAGACCCACCGGAACCCACACAGGAGGAGACCCACACAGGAGCCCACCGGAACCACAGGGGGAGACCCACCCACACAGGGAGGAGACCCACGGAGACACAGGAGGAGACCCACCGGAACCCACACAGGGGGAGACCCACCGGAACCCACACAGGGGGAGACCCACGGAACCCACACAGGGGGGAGACCCACCAGAGTCCAGACAGGAGGAGACCCACCGGAACCCACACAGGAGGAGACCCACCGGAACCCACACAGGAGGAGACCCACGGGAACCCAAACAGGAGGAGACCCACGGGAACCCAAACAGGGGGAGACCCACGGGAACCGACACAGGGTGAGACCCACCAGAGCCCAGACAGGAGGAGACCCACCGGAGCCCAGACAAGAGGAGACCCACTGGAACCCACACAGGAGGAGACCCACCGGAGTCCCAGACGGGGAGACCCACCAGAACCCAGACAGGAGGAGACCCACCAGAGCCCAGACAGGAGGAGACCCACCGGAACCCACACAGGAGGAGACCCCACCAGAGCCCAGACAGGAGGAGACCCACCAGAGCCCAGACAGGAGGAGACCCACCAGAGCCCAGACAGGAGGAGACCCACCAGAGCCCAGACAGGATTTACCCAACCCCGTAAGAGACCCACCAGAACCCACACAGAAGGAGACCCACCAGAACCCAGACAGGAGGAGACCCACCAGAGTCCAGACAGGAGGAGACCCACCAGAGCCCAGACAGGAGGAGACCCACCAGAGTCCAGACAGGGGAAGACCCACCAGAGCCCAGACAGGAGGAGACCCACCAGAACCCAGACAGGAGGAGACCCACCAGAACCCAGACAGGAGGAGACCCACCAGAGCCAAGAAAGGAGGAGACCCACCAGAGCCCAGACAGGAGGAGACCCACCAGGAACCCACACAGGAGGAGACCCACCGGAACCCACACAGGAGGAGACCCACCGGAGCCCAGACAGGAGGAGACCCACCGGAACCCACACAGGGGGAGACCCACGGGAACCCACACAGGAGGAGACCCACCGGAACCCACACAGGAGGAGACCCACCGGAACCCACACAGGAGGAGACCCACCGGAAGCCACACAGGGGGAGACCCACCGGAGCCCAGACAGGAGGAGACCCACCGGAACCCACACAGGGGAGACCCACCGGAACCCACACAGGGGAGACCCACTGGAACCCACACAGGGGGAGACCCACCAGAGTCCAGACAGGAGGAGACCCACCGAACCCACACAGGAGGAGACCCACCGGAACCCACACAGGAGGAGACCCACGGGAACCCAAACAGGAGGAGACCCACGGGAACCCAAACAGGAGGAGACCCACGGGAACCCAAACAGGGGGAGACCCACGGGAACCCAGACAGGAGGAGACCCACGGGAACCCACACAGGGTGAGACCCACCAGAGCCCAGACAGGAGGAGACCCACCGGAGCCCAGACAAGAGGAGACCCACTGGAACCCACACAGGAGGAGACCCACCGGAGTCCAGACAGGGGAGACCCACCAGAACCCAGACAGGAGGAGACCCACCAGAGCCCAGACAGGAGGAGACCCACCGGAACCCACACAGGAGGAGACCCACCAGAGCCCAGACAGGAGGAGACCCACCAGAGCCCAGACAGGAGGAGACCCACCAGAGCCCAGACAGGAGGAGACCCACCAGAACCCACACAGAAGGAGACCCACCAGAACCCAGACAGGAGGAGACCCACCAGAGTCCAGACAGGAGGAGACCCACCAGAGCCCAGACAGGAGGAGACCCACCAGAGCCCAGACAGGAGGAGACCCACCAGAGTCCAGACAGGGGAAGACCCACCAGAGCCCAGACAGGAGGAGACCCACCAGAGTCCAGACAGGGTAAGACCCACCAGAAACCCAGACAGGAGGAGACCCACCAGAACCCAGACAGGAGGAGACCCACCAGAACCCAGACAGGAGGAGACCCACCAGAGCCAAGAAAGGAGGAGACCCACCAGAGCCCAGACAAGAGGAGACCCACCAGAGTCCAGACAGGAGGAGACCCACCAGAACCCACACAGGAGGAGACCCACCAGAACCCAGACAAGAGGAGACCCACCAGAGTCAAGACAAGAGGAGACCCACCAGAGTCCAGACAGGGGAAGACCCACCAGAACCCAGACAGGAGGAGACCCACCAGAACCCAGACAGGAGGAGATCCACCAGAGCCCAGACAGGAGGAGACCCACCAGAGTCCAGACAGGAGGAGACCCACCGGAACCCAGACAGGAGGAGACCCACCGGAGCCCAGACAGGAGGAGACCCACCGGAGCCCAGACAGGAGGAAACCCACCAGAGCCAAGACAGGAGGAGACCCACCAGAGCCCAGAGAGGGGGAGACCCACCAGAGCCCAGAGAGGGGGAGACCCACCAGAGCCCAGAGAGGGGGAGACCCACCGAGAGCCCAGACAGGAGGAGACCCACCAGAGCCCAGACAGGAGGAGACCCACCAGAGCCCAGACAGGAGGAGACCCACCAGAGACCCAGACAGGAGGAGACCCACCAGAGCCCAGACAGGAGGAGACCCACCAGAACCCACACAGAAGGAGACCCACCGGAGCCCAGACAGGAGGAGACCCACCGGAGCCCAGACAGGAGGAGACCCACCGGAGCCCAGACAGGAGGAGACCCACCGGAGCCCAGACAGGAGGAGACCCACCAGAGCCCAGACAGGAGGAGACCCACCGGAGACACTTTCAATGGTATATTTAACAGACGAAAAGAGAGAAAACATTTGAGATTCCGTGTAACATAACACTGTGATTGGCTGTCACATGTCCTGGAGATGAATGTAATCTCTGACTTCTGATTGGTTCACTTTACGGACATACAAGTGACTCTGATCTTCTCCAGTCTGCTCTATGTGCCCGCTGTGCCCCCCCCCCGTCCCAAGGCAGCTTTCACCAGAGACCCCATTATTCCTCAGATCTGGACGGTCCTCCATCCCATCTCTGGAGTGTATACTGACCATTAGGCCGGTCCTGCACAGGGGGGAACATGGGGAACCAGAACCAGAACTACGACCCGATCTCCAGGCTGGCCGCTGCAATCTCAGAAGTCAACTCAGTTCTGAAGTTTGAGGACTTTCTCCTGAGGGAGGTTCTGGCTATAAATTGTCCTCCAAGACTGGAGACCCCCATAGACACAGATAGGACAGATGGGGGGCTCACCTGGACCGGGCCAGAATATCAGGAAAGATGGGGGCTCACCTGGACCGGGCCAGAATATCAGAAAAGATGGGGGCTCACCTGGACCGGGCCAGAATATCAGAAAAGATGGGGGGCTCACCTGGACCGGGCCAGAATATCAGGACAGATGGGGGGCTCACCTGGACCGGGCCAGAATATCAGGACAGATGGGGGGCTCACCTGGACCGGGCCAGAATATCAGGACAGATGGGGGGGGGGGGCTCACCTGGACCGGGCCAGAATATCAGGACAGATGGGGGGCTCACCTGGACCGGGCCAGAATATCAGGACAGATGGGGGGCTCACCTGGACCGGGCCAGAATATCAGGACAGATGGGGGGCTCACCTGGACAAGGCCAGAATATCAGGACAGATGGGGGGGGGCTCACCTGGACCAGGCCAGAATATCAGGACAGATGGGGGGGCTCACCTGGACCGGGCCAGAATATCAGGACAGATGGGGGGCTCACCTGGACCGGGCCAGAACATCAGGACAGATGGGGGGCTCACCTGGACCGGGCCAGAATATCAGAAAAGATGGGGGGCTCACCTGGACCGGGCCAGAATATCAGAAAAGATGGGGGGCTCACCTGGACCGGGCCAGAATATCAGGACAGATGGGGGGTTCACCTGGACCGGGCCAGAATATCAGAAAAGATGGGGGGCTCACCTGGACCGGGCCAGAATATCAGAAAAGATGGGGGGCTCACCTGGACCGGGCCAGAATGTCAGGACAGATGGGGGCTCACCTGGACAAGGCCAGAATGTCAGGACAGATGGGGGGGGCTCACCTGGACCGGGCCAGAATATCAGGACAGATGGGGGGCTCACCTGGACAAGGCCAGAATATCAGGACAGATGGGGGGGGCTCACCTGGACCAGGCCAGAATATCAGGACAGATGGGGGGGCTCACCTGGACCGGGCCAGAATATCAGGACAGATGGGGGGCTCACCTGGACCGGGCCAGAACATCAGGACAGATGGGGGGCTCACCTGGACCGGGCCAGAATATCAGAAAGATGGGGGGCTCACCTGGACCGGGCCAGAATATCAGAAAAGATGGGGGGGCTCACCTGGACCGGGCCAGAATATCAGGACAGATGGGGGGTTCACCTGGACCGGGCCAGAATATCAGAAAAGATGGGGGGCTCACCTGGACCGGGCCAGAATATCAGAAAAGATGGGGGGGCTCACCTGGACCGGGCCAGAATGTCAGGACAGATGGGGGGCTCACCTGGACAAGGCCAGAATGTCAGGACAGATGGGGGGGGCTCACCTGGACCGGGCCAGAATATCAGGACAGATGGGGGGCTCACCTGGACAAGGCCAGAATATCAGGACAGATGGGGGGGGGCTCACCTGGACCAGGCCAGAATATCAGGACAGATGGGGGGGCTCACCTGGACCGGGCCAGAATATCAGGACAGATGGGGGGCTCACCTGGACCGGGCCAGAACATCAGGACAGATGGGGGGCTCACCTGGACCGGGCCAGAATATCAGAAAAGATGGGGGGCTCACCTGGACCGGGCCAGAATATCAGAAAAGATGGGGGGCTCACCTGGACCGGGCCAGAATGTCAGGACAGATGGGGGGCTCACCTGGACAAGGCCAGAATGTCAGGACAGATGGGGGGGGCTCACCTGGACCGGGCCAGAATATCAGGACAGATGGGGGGCTCACCTGGACCGGGCCAGAATATCAGGACAGATGGGGGGCTCACCTGGACCGGGCCAGAATATCAGGACAGATGGGGGGCTCACCTGGACAAGGCCAGAATATCAGGACAGATGGGGGGGGGCTCACCTGGACCAGGCCAGAACATCAGGACAGATGGGGGGCTCACCTGGACCGGGCCAGAATATCAGGACAGATGGGGGGCTCACCTGGACCAGGCCAGAACATCAGGACAGATGGGGGGCTCACCTGGACCGGGCCAGAATATCAGGACAGATGGGGGGCTCACCTGGACCGGGCCAGAACATCAGGACAGATGGGGGGCTCACCTGGACCGGGCCAGAATATCAGAAAAGATGGGGGGGCTCACCTGGACCGGGCCAGAATATCAGGACAGATGGGGGGCTCACCTGGACCGGGCCAGAATATCAGAAAAGATGGGGGGCTCACCTGGACCGGGCCAGAATATCAGAAAAGATGGGGGGCTCACCTGGACCGGGCCAGAATGTCAGGACAGATGGGGGGCTCACCTGGACAAGGCCAGAATGTCAGGACAGATGGGGGGGGCTCACCTGGACCAGGCCAGAATATCAGGACAGATGGGGGGCTCACCTGGACCGGGCCAGAATATCAGGACAGATGGGGGGCTCACCTGGATCGGGCCAGAATGTCAGGACAGATGGGGGGCTCACCTGGACAAGGCCAGAATATCAGGACAGATGGGGGGCTCACCTGGATCGGGCCAGAATGTCAGGACAGATGGGGGGCTCACCTGGATCGGGCCAGAATGTCAGGACAGATGGGGGGCTCACCTGGACCAGGCCAGAACATCAGGACAGATGGGGGGCTCACCTGGACCGGGCCAGAATATCAGGACAGATGGGGGGCTCACCTGGACCGGGCCAGAACATCAGGACAGATGGGGGGCTCACCTGGACCAGGCCAGAATATCAGAAAAGATGGGGGGCTCACCTGGACCGGGCCAGAATATCAGAAAAGATGGGGGGCTCACCTGGACCGGGCCAGAATATCAGGACAGATGGGGGGCTCACCTGGACCGGGCCAGAATATCAGAAAAGATGGGGGGCTCACCTGGACCGGGCCAGAATGTCAGGACAGATGGGGGGCTCACCTGGACAAGGCCAGAATATCAGGACAGATGGGGGGCTCACCTGGACCGGGCCAGAATATCAGGACAGATGGGGGGCTCACCTGGACAAGGCCAGAATATCAGGACAGATGGGGGGCTCACCTGGATCGGGCCAGAATGTCAGGACAGATGGGGGGGCTCACCTGGACAAGGCCAGAATATCAGGACAGATGGGGGGCTCACCTGGACAAGGCCAGAATATCAGGACAGATGGGGGGGCTCACCTGGATCGGGCCAGAATGTCAGGACAGATGGGGGGGCTCACCTGGACCAGGCCAGAATATCAGGACAGATGGGGGGCTCACCTGGATTGGGCCAGAATGTCAGGACAGATGGGGGGGCTCACCTGGATTGGGCCAGAATATCAGGACAGATGGGGGGCTCACCTGGACAAGGCCAGAATATCAGGACAGATGGGGGGCTCACCTGGACAAGGCCAGAATATCAGGACAGATGGGGGGCTCACCTGGATCGGGCCAGAATGTCAGGACAGATGGGGGGGCTCACCTGGATTGGGCCAGAATATCAGGACAGATGGGGGGCTCACCTGGATTGGGCCAGAATATCAGGACAGATGGGGGGCTCACCTGGATCGGGCCAGAATGTCAGGACAGATGGGGGGGCTCACCTGGACAAGGCCAGAATATCAGGACAGATGGGGGGCTCACCTGGACCAGGCCAGAATATCAGGACAGATGGGGGGCTCACCTGGATTGGGCCAGAATGTCAGGACAGATGGGGGGGCTCACCTGGATTGGGCCAGAATATCAGGACAGATGGGGGGCTCACCTGGATCGGGCCAGAATGTCAGGACAGATGGGGGGGCTCACCTGGACAAGGCCAGAATATCAGGACAGATGGGGGGGCTCACCTGGACAAGGCCAGAATATCAGGACAGATGGGGGGCTCACCTGGATCGGGACAGAATGTCAGGACAGATGGGGGGGCTCACCTGGATTGGGCCAGAATATCAGGACAGATGGGGGGCTCACCTGGATTGGGCCAGAATATCAGGACAGATGGGGGGCTCACCTGGATCGGGCCAGAATGTCAGGACAGATGGGGGGGCTCACCTGGACAAGGCCAGAATATCAGGACAGATGGGGGGCTCACCTGGACAAGGCCAGAATATCAGGACAGATGGGGGGCTCACCTGGATCGGGCCAGAATGTCAGGACAGATGGGGGGGCTCACCTGGATTGGGCCAGAATATCAGGACAGATGGGGGGCTCACCTGGATTGGGCCAGAATGTCAGGACAGATGGGGGGGCTCACCTGGACCAGGCCAGAATATCATTACATTACATTGAGTTTATATGGCGCCAAAGGGTTTGCTCAGCGCTGTACAATAGGGGGGACAATACATGAAACATTACAGCAGCTACAAACAGCACACGAGGGGTTAGAGGGCCCTACTCTTTCGAGCTTACAATCTGGGAGGGAGGGGGTAGTGGTACAGGAGGAAGTGGCTGTGGGGGATGGAGTGGTAGGAGGAATGAAGGAGAGCAGCAGTTAGGTGAGGGTGGGGTAGGCTTCCCTGAAGAGGTGGGTTTTCAGGGAGCGCCTGAAGGTGAGGAGGGAAGGTGACAGTCTGATGGATTGGGGTAGTGAGTTCCAGAGGATGGGGGAGGACCTGGAGAAGTCTTGCAGTCGTGCGTGGGAGGAGGAGACCAGGGAGCAAGATAGAAGGAGGTCCTGTGAAGAGCGAAGGGTACGGGTAGGGTGGTACTTGGGAATCAGGTTGGTGAGGTAGTTAGGGGCAGTGTTGTGAACGGCTTTGTAGGTCAGAGTGAGCAGTTTGAATTTGATGCATTGGGCGATAGGGAGCCAGTGGAGGGAGAGGCAGAGGGGGTGGAGCCAGTGGAGGAGAGGCAGAGGGGGGTGGAGCCAGTGGAGGGAGAGGCAGAGGGGGGTGGAGCCAGTGGAGGGAGAGGCAGAGGGGGGTGGCAGAGGTGGAGCGGTGGTGAGGTGGATGAGTCTGGCTGCTGAGTTCAGGATGGTCTGAAGCAGGGAGAGCCTGCACTGGGGTAGGCCGGTGAGGAGGGAGTTGCAGTAGTCCAGGCGTGAGATAATCAGGGAGTGTGTACGAGTAGTTTAGTGGTGTCTGGGGTAAGGAAGGAGCGTATCTTGGAGATGTTCCGGAGGTGGAGCCTGCATGTGTTTGTCAGTGATTTGACATGAGGTTGGAAGGAAAGGTTAGAGTCCAGAATGACTCCAAGGACTTTGGCTTGCGGGGCGGGATTGATGGTGGTGATGTTAGTAGTGATGGATAGGATGGGGGGGGGGCGCGGGCTGGGGGGAAGACGAGAAGCTCGGTTTTGGAGAGGTTGAGTTTGAGGAAATGGAGCGACATCCAGTCTGAGATGTCGTTTAGGAGGTGAGTGATGCGGGCGGAGAAAGTGGAGGTGAGGTGAGGGGTGGAGAGTAAATTTGAGTGTCATCAGCATAGAGATGGTAGTTGAAGCCGTGAGAGTGTATGAGTTTGCCAAGGGAGGAGGTGTAGATGGAGAAGAGAAGGGGTCCAAGGACAGAGCCCTGGGGGACCCCAACAGAGAGGGGGAGTGAGGGGGAGGTGGTACCATTGTAGGTGACACTGAAGGAGCGTCGGGATAGGTAAGAGGAGAACCAGGAGAGAGCGGTGTCTCTGATGCCGAGGGAGAATAGTTTATTAAGGAGGAGGGGGTGGTCAACTGTGTCGAAGGCCGCGGAGAGGTCCAGGAGGAGGAGGATTGGGCCAGAATATCAGGACAGATGGGGGGCTCACCTGGATCGGGCCAGAATATCAGGACAGATGGGGGGCTCACCTGGATCGGGCCAGAATATCAGGACAGATGGGGGGGGGGCTCACCTGGACCGGGCCAGAATATCAGGACAGATGGGGGGCTCACCTGGACCGGGCCAGAATATCAGGACAGATGGGGGGGGGCTCACCTGGATCGGGCCAGAATATCAGGACAGATGGGGGGGGCTCACCTGGATCGGGCCAGAATATCAGGACAGATGGGGGGCTCACCTGGATCGGGCCAGAATATCAGGACAGATGGGGGGGGGGGGGCTCACCTGGATCGGGCCAGAATATCAGGACAGATGGGGGGGGCTCACCTGGATCGGGCCAGAATATCAGGACAGATGGGGGGCTCACCTGGATCGGGCCAGAATGTTCTTGATCTTCTGGACTTTCCGCCGTCGTGCCTCCACCTCCTCATGGGTCAGTGGCTCCTCTGGTTCCAGATTGATGTATCTCTCCCGGAATCTCCACCTTGTCTGGAGTCGCCAACTACCAGAGACATGAAATGATTGGTGCAAAGAGAGAACGACTTGTACAAAAAGATCCGCAACATCGTACAGAATTAGAACTGTTCTGGGAGAGTAGCTCCGCCCCCTCCGCTATCCACCATTGTACATTCTGGGACAGTAGCTCCGCCCCCTCCGCTATCCACCATTGTACATTCTGGGACAGTAGCTCCGCCCCCTCCGCTATCCACCATTGTACATTCTGGGACAGTAGCTCCCCCCTCCGCTGCCCCCATTCTGGGACAGTAGCTCCGCTATCCACCATTGTACATTCTGGGACAGTAGCTCCGCCCCCTCCGCTGTCCACCATTGTATGGAATTATAACTGACAGCTGTAAAATTCAGGATTTCTCAGCACTCTCTCTCTCTCTGGCAGCATTCACCAGGACAAATTGGGTGAACCTTCCCAACGGGGACACAGAGAGCCATAAACCTGACAGGAGTCACCCCTCCCTGCCTGACATTAGCAGGTTATAATGTATATTCACCATTAGATGGCAGCACCTCCCCACCGATCTCAATTCTGGGATCATCTCCGGGATATCAAACCACACAAAGTATAAAGACTTGTATACCGCGCGCCCGTATACTGCACCCCGTATACCGCACCCCGTATACCGCGCCCCGTTATACCGCGCCCCGTATACCGCACCCCGTATACCGCGCCCCGTATACCGCGCCCCGTATACCGCGCCCCGTATATACAGCGCCCCATATACTGCGCCCCCGTATACAGCGCCCCGTATACCGCGCCCCGTATACCGCGCCCCGTATACCGCACCCCGTATACCGCACCCCGTATACCGCACCCCCCGTATACTGCACCCCGTATACAGCACCCCGTATACCGCACCCCGTATACAGCACCCCGTATACTGCACCCCGTATACTGCACCCCGTATACCGTATACCGCACCCCGTATACCGCACCCCGTATACTGCACCCCGTATACCGCGCCCCGTATACCGCACCCCGTTATACCGCACCCCGTATACCGCACCCCGTATACCGCACCCCGTATACCGCACCCCGTATACCGCACCCCGTATACCGCACCCCTGTATACCGCACCCCGTATACCGCACCCCATATACCGCTCCCCGTATACCGCTCCCCCGTATACCGCACCCCCCCGTATACTGCGCCCCGTATACCGCACCCCATATACTGCGCCCCGTATACCGCACCCCATATACCACATCCTGTATACTGCGCCCCATATACCACATACAGCACCCCGCAATCCTTTTTACCTTGTCCTGTGTACAGCACCCTGTGTACTGCACCCCGTATACTGCACCCCGTATACTGCACTGTCAACCCCCGTACCGCACCCCACATACTGCACCCCGTATACTGCACCCCGTATACCGCGCCCCACATACTGCACTCCCGTATACCGCACCCCACCCTGCGTACAGCACCCCGTATACCGCGCCCCCCGCATACTGCAACCCGATATAGGGGTTTCCGCATACAAGACCACAGTCAGTATTCCTGAGACCCCCATATTCTATCACAAGCATCGCATTATCGCCCGCATTTGCTGCAGCCACCCCCCCCCCCCCCATTAGGTCTTCCACACACCCATTTCAAGCATCCCATGGCAGATAGTGAGTCAGGGAGTGCTGAGATTTGTAGTACTCCATCGTCTGCACACATTGTTCTTAGTAGCTCCATTCTGTGCGGCTCCCATCCCCCCCCCCCCCCCCATCTAACAGCACCGCCATCCGCCCCCCTGACAGCTCTGCTTCCCTCTATGATTCATACACCCCAATGTACGGCATGCGGCACAGAGTGCAGGGAAAGGACCACAATGCATGCCGTGTGTGACGGGCTGTCCGCTACCCCTTGCTGATGTCCAGGTTGTAGTCCTGAGGCTCCAGATCCATCTCAGTGACAGGGACAGCGACCGCCTGCACCCAGTCCTGGTCATCCCAATCCCTCTCCTCCGCATCCCGAGCCGCCCTCTCCAGCAACTGCAGATCGAATTCCTGTTCTCTCTGCCACTACAAGACAAAAACGGGTTCAATGTCTCCATCCCTACATACACCCCATTCCAGGCCTCGTACACCCCGCACATCCCATTCCAGGCCTCGTACACCCCCGCACATCCCATTCCAGGCCTCGTACACCCCAGTCCAGGCCTTGTACACCCCACACACCCCATTCCAGTCCTTGTACACCCCATTCCAGGCCTCGTACACCCCCATTCCAGGCCTCGTACACCCCGCACACCCCATTCCAGGCCTCGTACACCAAGCACATCCCATTCCAGGCCTCGTACACCCCATTCCAGGCCTCGTACACCCCGCACACCCCATTCCAGGCCTCGTACACCCCGCACACCCCATTCCAGGCCTTGTACACCCCGCACACCCCATTCCAGGCCTCGTACACCCCATTCCAGGCCTTGTACACCCCGCACACCCCATTCCAGGCCTCGTACACCCCATTCCAGGCCTCGTACACCCCGCACACCCCATTCCAGGCCTCGTACACCCCCAGTCCAGGCCTTGTACACCCCGCACATCCCTTTCCAGGCCTCGTACACCCCGCACATCCCTTTCCAGGCCTCGTACACCCCAGTCCAGGCCTTGTACACCCCACACACCCCAGACCAGTCCTTGTACACCCCATTCCAGGCCTCGTACACCAAGCACACCCCATTCCAGGCCTCGTACACCCCGCCTTGCACACCCCATTCCAGGCCTCGTACACCCCGCACATCCCATTCCAGGCCTCGTACACCCCAGTCCAGGCCTTGTACACCCCACACACCCCATTCCAGTCCTTGTACACCCCATTCCAGGCCTCGTACACCAAGCACACACCATTCCAGGCCTCGTACACCCCGCACACCCCATTCCAGGCCTTGTACACCCCACACACCCCATTCCAGGCCTCGTACACCCCCCACCAGGAACCCGCACATCCCATTCCAGGCCTTGTACACCCCGTACACCCCATTCCAGGCCTCGTACACCCCGCACATCCCATTCCAGGCCTCGTACACCCCGCACACCCCATTCCAGGCCTTGTACACCCCGCACACCCCATTCCAGGCCTCGTACACCCCGCACACCCCAATTCCAGGCCTCATACACCCCAGTCCAGGCCTTGTACACCCCACACACCCATTCCAGTCCTTGTACACCCCATTCCAGGCCTTGTACACCCCGCACACACCCATTCCAGGCCTTGTACACCCCACACACCCATTCCAGTCCTTGTACACCCCATTCCAGGCCTTGTACACCCCGCACACCCCATTCCAGGCCTTGTACACCCCGCACACCCCACCCAGGCCTTGTACACCCCGCACACCCCACTCCAGGCCTTGTACACCCCATTCCAGGCCTTGTACACCCCGCACACCCCACTCCAGGCCTTGTCCACCCCATTCCAGGCCATGTACACCCTGCACACCCCATTCCAGGACTTGTACACTCCACACACACCCCATTCCAAGCCTTGTACACCCTCCAAACACCCCATTCCAGGCCTTGTACACCCCACACAAACCACATTGCAGGCCTTGTACACCTTCTACCATGAAGGAAATGCGTATTTGCTCCCCCTGATGCTGAATGTTCGCCCCCCTCACACAGAAATGATCGGTCTAACAATGGAATGTTCGCCCCTCACACAGAAATGATCGGTCTAACAATGGAATGTTCAGCCCCCTCACACAGAAAAGATCGGTCTAACGATGGAATGTTCGCCCCTCACACAGAACGGTCTAACAATGGAATGTTCGCCCCTCACACAGAAAATGATCGGTCTAACAATGGAATGTTCGCCCCCCTCACACAGAAATGATCGGTGCTAACAATGGAATGTTCGCCCCTCACACAGAAATGATCGGGTCTAACAATGGAATGTTCACCCCTCACACAGAAATGATCGGTCTAACAATGGAATGTTCCCCCTCACACAGAAACGATCAGTCTAACAATGGAATGTTCGCCCCTCACACAGAAATGATCGGTCTAACAATGGAATGTTCGCCCCTCACACAGAAATGATCGGTCTAACAATGGAATGTTCGCCCCTCACACAGAAATCATCGGTCTAACAATGGAATGTTCGGTGTGTAACACTGAGAGACAGAATACAACAACAAATTCAGCAGAAATGCGTCTAACAAATGATGACGGATGATCTGCATGTTCATGAGGGAAAGAAGGATTTGATCCCCTATCATTCAGCAGGATTTCTGGCTCCCAGGTGTCTCTCATACAGGTAACAAGCTGAGATTAGAAGCAGTCTCTTAAAGGGAGTGCTGCTAATCTCATTGTGTTACCTGTATAAAAGACACCTGTCCACAGGAGCCATCAAACCATCAGATTCCAAACTCTCCACCATGGCAAAGACCAAAGAGCTGTCCAAGGATGTCAGGGACAAGATGGTAGACCTACACAAGGCTGGACTGGGCTACCAAACTATGGCCAAGCAGCTTGGTGAGAAGGTGACAACAGTTGGTGCAATCATTCACAAATGGAAGAAACACAAAAACAAGTGTCAGTCTCCCTAGGTCTGGTGCACCATGCAAGATCTCACCTCGTGGAGTGTCAATGATCATGAGAACAGTGAGGAATCATCCCAGAACTACACGTGAGGATCTTGTCAATGATCTCCAGGCAGCTGGGACCACAGTCACCAAGAAAACAATTGGTAACACACTACGCCGACAAGGACTGAAATCCTGCAGTGCCCGCACGGTCCCTCTGCTCAAGAAAGCCCATGTCCAGGCCCGTCTGAAGTCTGCCACTGAACATCTGAATGATGCCGAGGAGGACTGGTGGGAAGTGTTGTGGTCAGAGGAGACCAAAATCCAGCTCTTTGGCATCAACTCAACTCGCCGTGTTTGGAGGAGGAGGAATGCTGCCTATGACCCCAAGAACACCATCCCAACTGTGAAACATGGTGGTGGAAACATTCTGCCTTGGGGGGGTTTTTCTGATAAGGGGACAGGACAACTGCACCGCATCAAAGGGACGATGGACGGGGCAATGTACCCTCAAATCTTGGGTGAGAACCTTCTTCCCTCAGCCAGGGCATTGAAAATGGGTGGTGGATGGGTGTTTCCAGCATGACAATGACCCAAAACACACGGCCAAGGCAACAAAGGAGCGGCTCAAGAAGAAGCACACATTAAGGTCCTGGAGTGGCCTAGCCAGTCTCCACACCTTCATCCGATGGAAAATCTGTGGGAGGAGCTGAAAAGTTCGAGTTGCCAAACGTCAGCCACCAAACCTTAATGACTTGGAGAGGATCTGCCAAGAGGAGTGGGGGCCAAAATCCCTCCTGAGATGTGTGTGAACCTGGGGGCCAACTCCAGGAAACGTCTGACCTCTGTGATGGCCAACAAGGGATTGGCCACCAAGTACTAAGTCATGTTTTGTGTGAAGGGGATCAAATCCTTCTTTCCCTCATGAACATGCAGATCCGTCATCATTTGTTAGACGCATTTCTGCTGAATTTGTTGTTGTATTCTGTCTCTCAGTGTTACACCGAACATTCCATTGTTAGACCGATCATTTCTGTGTGAGGGGCGAACATTCCATTGTTAGACCGATCATTTCTGTGTGAGGGGGGAACATTCCATTGTTAGACCGATCATTTCTGTGTGAAGGAGGAACATCCATTCCATTGTTAGACCGATCATTTCTGTGTGAGGGGGGGGTGGAACATTCCATTGTTAGACCGATCATTTCTGTGTGAGGGGGGAACATTCCATTGTTAGACCGATCATTTCTGTGTGAGGGGGAACATTCCATTGTGTTAGACCGATCATTTCTGTGTGAGGGGCGAACATTCCATTTGTTAGACCGATCATTTCTGTGTGAGGGGCCATTCCATTGTTAGACCGATCATTTCTGTGTGAGGGGCAAACATTCACCATCAGCTGGCGAGCAAATACACATTTCCTTCACTTTATACACCCCAGTCCAGGCCTTGTATACTCAGAATACACCCCACATACTCAATTCTAGGCCTGTACACCCTCCATACACCCCACACACCCATTCTAGGCCTTGTAAAGCCTGCAAACATTCCACACACCCTATTCCAGGTCTTGTAAACCCTCCATACACCCCACACACCCCCACTCCAGGCCTTGTACACCCCGCATTAAATGGATGGAGTTGGGCTTGAAGATAAACCTTTCCTGAGAGGCCCATGGCAGCTGTCGATCGCCTTCAGAAGATACCGGCTGCCTGGGTGGTACACCAGCAGAATTAGAACGGGCTCCGGCCACCTCCATGTCTCTCTCAGGACAGGAACCTGCGCTGCCTTAGCCTTGACATCACCTTCATGACCCAGGAAAGCTCCTTCTGTGCTCCTCTCTGAATTAGATTCACTCTGCCTTCCTGACTAAGCCCTCTATACCAGGGGTGAGGGTCACTGTACCGGGGTGTGATGACCATTGTACCGGGGGTGAGGGTCACATGTACCGGGGGTGATGACCATTGTAGCGGGAGTAGGGTCACTGTACCGAGGATGATGACCATTGTACCGGGGTGAGGGTCACTGTACCGGGGGTGATGAGCATCGTACTGGGAGTAAGGGTAACTGTACCGAGGGTGATGACCATTGTACCGGGGGTGATGACCATTGTACCAGGGGTGAGGGTTACTGTACCGGGGTGATGACCACTGTACCGGGGGATGAGGGTCACTGTATCGGGGGTGATGACAATTGTACCGGGGTGAGGGTCACTGTACCGGGGTGAGGGTCACTGTACCGGGGGGGGTGATGACCATTGTACCGGGAGTAAGGATGACTGTACCTAGGGTGATGACCATTGTACCAGGGGTGAGGGACACTGTACCTAGGGTGATGACCATTGTACCAGGGGTGTGAGGGTCACTGTACCGGG